CAGAAATCATATATTTGCCGTTCTTCTTGTTGCAAATTAAAGGTCAATGAAATAGCTTCTCGAAGCTTTATGGCCGCTTTTCTCTCAAGTTTATAGCAATATCATTCTGTCCCCTTAACTGCATTTGTGAGAACGGCATGCAAAATGGGGACCTTTCACTCGCCATGGTTTGTTTGGATTACTATTTTTGGAGTTTTCATAGAAAAATATATTTTAACAATTTGATGTATTTGAAATAAAAAGATTATTAAAAAATACGTTGAATATAAAAAATTTTTGTTAGAAAACTACAATCCATTAACTAATCAGTTAAATATATATATATATATTCATTCATTTTTACTAATGGATTTGAATGCATAATAAGTTATTTTTTTAAAAAAATTCTAGATTTTTTGGATGTAACTTGCATTTACACCTATTAGCATAAAAAAAATGTATGCACTAGCATCATTAGAAAAAAAAGAATTATGCATACATATACACACTTTACGCCCGCGCGGGTAATCCGAAGCCTGGTAATTACCAGTAGGTTCCGTAATCGACTCTCTTATGCTACCTCACTGTATATCCCTGGAACAAAACTCTACACAACCTTAAGGGGTTAGTCTGATCGAAAGGTTGGGATACGCCTAAGTGAAAAAAAAATACATATACACATTTTATAGTCTAAAGTGTGTAAACTCTACATTTATTATCTCTATAATTAACCAAACATTGTTAATCATTACGTCCAACCCGATATATTAGTAATTCAGCAACAAGTAGGTTTTTCCAATTTGCATTGCTCCATTGATTAATATCGAATCACATCATAAGCAATTCCCAACTTTTACTCTTTTTCATGTCATTTTTTAAAGTGTAAGTGAGAGGATTCGATTTCGCGACTTCACATTTTCACTTCTCTGCCTGTGAATCATCAAATCCATCTCTTCACCCATTTTGTGACATTTACAGATGCAAGATACCCATCTTTTTCGCAACCAAGACCTAATTTACCTGTGAAGAATTTATTAAAAAAAAAGAAGAAGAAGAAATCAGAAGAATTAACGTTAAACTTGCTAAACCAATTCCTACTTAGTTCTCCTGAGCTTGTTGCAAAGAGGACGCTATGAAGTTCTTTTTTCTTTTTTTTTTTAAAGGGAATAAAGGAATAAGCCAGATGGAAGGAAAGGTCTGACCCAGAGGAAAAGTTTTCAGCTTTTTGTGTGGAGGAAGCTGCATGCATTAAATTATTCCTCCCAGCTAGTTTTGTGCCTCTAGGGCAAATGTCAATTTTTACATGACGATGCCCGAATACAGTGAGGAAATAAAGGAAAGATCTAGTGGCAGTGATCTTATCAAGTATAGAAGAATTTAGAAATTGGGTTAGGTGCTTTTCTCTCGGAATCTGTAGGGGAATCCCATTCCATTGTCTTACCCCAATGAAAGTGTATTGATCAACACGCCAACAGCTAATCCCGTGAAAGTTGCAAAGAGAAAAACCGTCTTAATTGCATGATTTGAACCAATTATTGAGCCACCAAATGTACCAACGTATTCTAACACCTTTCGTTCCTTGGCTACTTGACAAGAATGACATGTGGTGTCTACTCTTGTACCTTTTTCCTTAAAATCCTTACTGTTGATTGATCATGATCAAGTAAAAATGGAGTGACAAAGAAGCATGATTACCAGATTTGCAGAATTAGGTGCTTGAACATGTCCAGCACATAAGGATAATGACCTTATCATACCATCAACAGGTGAATGATGATGATGATGCAGTCATGCAGGTGGTTGCATTAGTACTTCTTCACACTTGAAATAGTGATTGATATATTCGTGTTTGCACTTTGCACCAACAAGCACTGGTTCCTTCACACTGAAACCGTAGAAGTTTGTTGAGGGGTCACACCATGCTATGAGATGTATATTGGATACTTCATGAGATAAACTGACAAACTCCTACTGCTCTTCTAGTCTAGAAAATAAGAAGATGGATAAGATATTTCTTTTCCTTTATTTGGAGAAAGTATGATACTGATCACGTTATAATAATATTGGGTTGATATCAAAAGCGGTTTCATGAAAATATATAGGTTAAAGCTCAATAATAGGGGCCTCTTCCTTTGAAACCACACATTTTTTTCGTACCCGAGGGTGTACACAAACATTTATCGGTTTATTTTTTACTCAATTAACCTCAAAAACCAGTGTTCTGTGGATAAATTTGGAGTTTGCAAGGGCATTATGCATGTATATATGCATGTACATAGCTAAAATGTCCACTTCTAGACTATGCATTCTAGTGCTCAATTTATTAAAAGAAGTGGACAATAAGTAATTGTCAAGTTTAATTTGCAAAAGAACCTGTGGTTTTCGGAAACGTCACCAATTATTTTAAGGATTAATCTTTCTTACATCCACAATGCATACACTATCAGCGTTGGATGAACGATAATTATGCAAATTTTGAATTTGAAATTTAACTTTTACACACATGTCATGAATCAAATAGTGATAGTGTATACACTGTTAGTGTATATAAGATTTACTCTTATTTTAACTCTAAGAAGCTTCCAAAAAAAAAAAAATCCAAACTAGGAGGACTGACAAACTACTTTATGCTCAAGATTCAAGAATGCTTTCAATTAATCCCCGACATACGCCTAATTCGCTAGTTAATTTATCTTAGTGTTTACCAGCTTTCGAATCAAGCTTCTTTTCGCAAAGGCAATAAAAAACGTGTAATTATTGAGCGCTTTGCTAAAGCTTATTTGGGAATCCAAATGATTTTCAGCCTTTTGATTTTGGCTTCATTTCCAATTATGCTTCGGAGTAAGAAAGATTGATGTAGTAGATTTTCTGTTTCTCGTGAACAGTTCACTGTCTATGTTGATAGAAAGGTTTTTCTAATATGCGTCCCAAAAGCTCAAGTTGAAGCACATAAATAAATGGATAAATTTTTCATATGCTGACACTACATACACGAGACTTTGATATATGATAATTAATCTAAATGTAAATTTAAAATTTAAATATTACGTATTTTTCAATTACTTTTTTATTTTTTTTAACTCTCTTTTTATCTCAAATACATCACGTAAAAAAAGTGTTACAGTATTTTTAAAAAAAATTTATTTCAAATAATATCCTATCCAAACATAGATAATTTTGGGAATTCCCCCCCCCCCCCCTTTTTTAGAGTCACCACATAAATCATGGGCTAATAACTATCTGACCAAGTTTTATTTGTTTTCGTCACTAGCTTAAATTTCTGATTGGTTTGTCATCGAGTGTATCCGCTATACATTTACTTAGAGCATCGTTTGTTTTGAGGGAATGGGAGGAAAAGGAAAGGAAATAAAATGAAGGGATAAGGGTTTTGACTTTTGATGTTTGGATTGGTTTTTGAGAAGGAAAAGGAAGGAATTGGAAGGTAAAGGAAATGATAAAGTTTAGTTATCTTTTGTCAATTTACTTTTTCATCCAAAAGTGAGTGGAAACGGAAAGAAATGACACCAAAATTAATGAAAAATTTTAAATTTCCTAAAAAACCGTTTATGTATTTATAAATTAAACTTTTGATTGTGAATAAATATATAATTAATATGTGATAATTTTCTTTCCTCCTTTCCTTCCGTAATTCAAACAAGACAGATGGACTTTTAAAATTTCCTCTGCTCCCCTTTCTTTTACTCAACTAGAGTCCTTCCCTTTCCATTCCGTCCCTTTCCTTCAATCCAAATGGTGCCTCAACATTTAAGCAAGATAAACACTAAAAAGACATCACCTTTTTTTATTGGATTTTTTAATATTACTTAAATGACACTTAATTTACTTCGTGAATGTACAAAATCACAATTTTGTATCCTATACATTTATACATTTTTTATAAATTCACTTCACTTTGCAAAAATTAACCCGTGAGACGGCATATATACCCATTAATTAAATTATTTTTTATATTTAATTTGATTATTTTTTGGAAAATCAACACTCAAGTCTCGCATGCCACGTTTTTAAATTACTGTCCTTTTTTTTAATTTCGCAGACATCAAACAAGGTGGCATAAGTTCCACGTGAATGGTCCAGCGGCAGCGCCTCTCACCAGTGACCCTTGAGGTCACAAGTTCGAGTCTCCGCTACGCTGGATTCCTCCGCGCACTTAACGTGTTCGGGCCGGGTTGGGGCGCCGGGCCCAGACCGCAGGGGATTAGTCAGGCCCCGTAAGGATTGACCCGGACATCCCTGTGTCGACAAAAAAAAAAAAAAATTTCTCCAAAAACACTTCAAGAAATCATTTCAAACGAAGGGTTTTTATTGTGAATTTTTCCAATCGATAGATATTGATGCACGATCGCATGGTGCACTGTGCTGCACTTTATAGTTGCTCTACATGGGCCAACTGGGGAGTGACTGAGTGAGACAGCACTTAACAGGAGACGCTTTTGGTGATAGTGCTGTCGCCTAGTTCCCAGCCTCCAAGGTTCCAACATGGTGAAGTCAAAAATGAAAACTCCATGAGTTTCCATTCAGACCCTTCGGAACTATTAAGATTTAGTCCCCTATTCAACAGAAATTTAAAATTAAAACCCTTGTGCCTCAACGGTACACTCAATGATTGACATTTAAAAGGATTTTAAACCATCATGCGCCACCTTTCAATTCCGGTAAAGATTTGTAGAAAATCTAAAATCTAATAAAACCTTGATTAAACACTGATTAAACAGATATTCCTCCCTCCTTGGGTTCTTTAGTCTTTCTCACCACTGATTAAACAGACCCATATATTTTGTCCAAATTCCAGAAATTAAGCACTTTTTTCGAGTAGCCTTTAATTTCTTTTTGCAGGATAGGTTTCTCACACCAACCCATGTGCCTTCCATCAGAAGTTCAAATTTTTAATCGCTATTCCATTTGCACTTGGTACTTTTTTTGTCTGTGTTGTTCTTGTGGTAGTTGCTCTTGCTGCTTTTGGCTGGTAAATTGAATCATTGCAGAGTTTTGAATAATAATGGGTGCTTTATGCAAAGACGCCTTTTAGACTTATCAAATTAATTGGGTTTTGTGCTTGACTAACTTGCTTTATAGCACAAGTACTTTTTCTTTTTTCTTTTTTTCGTGGCTACTGTTAATTGTGCTAAAGACTGTACTTTTTACTGTTTTTTTATGCAGAAAGACAAGGTTTTGAATTGAGGGTTTTGTATTTGTGGTTCAAATTTGTGTTTTTTGTGTTAAAGTTCAGATTTTTGAGGGTCTTGTTGAAGTGTTTTGACGACCTGTGCTGAAAAGAGGTAGAGTTGGAGAAAATTGAGGGAGCAAAAATAGAAGCGTTTGAGTTCTGGGGTGGCCATAAAGCCTGTAACTCCTCATGGATTACTTAGATTGCAGAAAGTTTGAACTTTTTCTGGTTTTCTTGGCGGTTTTTGCTGTGCCAACTTGCAGGGGATTCACAGACATTCGTGATGGTGAGAATCACAGACCCCACCCATTTTTTCCATTTATGTTTTCCAGTGTGTTTATTTTCGAGTCTTTGTATCTGCATGTGCTTATTCTCGACTTAAATTGAGTATTTTGCCCGTATTTTTTATGTTGATGAAATCTACATGCTAGTCTCTGATTTGGTATTTCATGTATTTCAACTTAATCTTAATTAGACGTTTAATTTTAATAATGCTTTTTCGTCTCCTTTTTTTATTCCTTCCTAATGTGTTATCTTCTGATGGTGTTCTTGTGTTAGTCTATGCAATTAACAGTTTATATGCTGCTTTGGGCAACCCACCGCTCGCCGGGTGGCTTCCAGTTGGTGGGGACCCATGTGGGTTTGCTTGGCAAGGAGTGCAGTGTGTCAATGCCAATATAACTGCTATGTATGAATCAATGCTCTTCTCACTTTTAACTTTTAAGGCCTTGTGATGCGCTACCGTGACAAATTCTGGTTTCTGACCTTCTTTTTTGGTTGGAATTGACAGTAATCTTAATGGCCTGAATTTGGGAGGCGAACTCAGTAATGATTTGGGCTCCTTTGCTTCCATAATACAAGTGTAAGTACCTTTTTCATGTGAAAGTCCAAAAATTAAATTTTACTGCTTCTCAAGTTAGGCAGGTAAGTGTTAAGTGTTATACTACTATATCTTTTGTATGAATATCATAAAGGTTGCATTTTTAGTTCATTTCAGCTCGCATGAATTGATGCATTGATAGATGCCTAAACATTCAAAAGTGTTTTTCTACTTAAGCTGACAGATATTTTTGGCTTTTGTAAAAGCAGAGACCTTGGTGCCAACCAAATTGGAGGCAGTATACCAACCAATTTGCCTTCTACTCTCCAAATCTTGTAAGTTTGACGCTTCTGTCTCACCTCATTCATAATATAGCTGAAAGGAATATAAACTTTATTGAAGAATTAAATATGGAAGACACTAATTGACACATTTTCTTCCCTCTTTTTGGTAGTTCTCTTTATGATAATCAGTTGAGCGGAAGCATCCCGGATAGTATATCGTTGTTGGGTCAGCTGACAGACTTGTGAGTTCCCATAAATTTGGACATGAATTTTTTACATTGCCGAGTTCTTATTGTCTTCTTTTCTCTTGAACCCCAGCTAATATTCAAATGTTATTTTCTAGGTCGCTGGGAAACAATCATTTAACAGGAGAAATTCCAGATGTCTTTCAGCAGCTTACCGGCTTGACCACTCTGTAATTCTTTTATCAAAATCTACATACACTGGTACGCTAAATGTCAATAGAAATTTCTTTAGCTGAAATGTTTATTTGTTTTAGGAACTTATCTGGTAACATGCTGAGCAGCCAACTGCCTTCTTCAATGGGAAAATTATCCTCTCTTACAAAGTTGTAAGTTATTTTCTTGGATGCATTTCTTTTGAGAAAAAAACAAAGATATCATTTCCCTATTACTGGGGGAAAGGGATCATGACAACTAAGTCCAACAAAGCATATGCCTGAGAAAACGACTTTGAAAATTCATTTCAGACAAGTACTATGGGAAAACACTTGCTCAAAATAAGTTTTATCAAAGTTATTTCCAATTTAACATGATCCTTCTATTCCCTGTTTATTGTGGGAAAAGAATGCTGGAGTCATGTCATCTACTTGACATGTAAAGTACATTGAATTTGGAAGCAAATAGTCTGAAAAGAAAGAGAGTCTGTTTCAGTGAAAATCCATGACACATCACTACTAATAGGAGCAATTAAACAGAGAAGTTTACGGTAAAAATTTGTGCATGTGGATGAAAAGTATTAGAAAGTACTTCCGTGGAAATTTAATCACACACAGAAGCTTAAAGAAACGGAATAAATAGGTTAAAAATGTTGATTACATTAAGGATCTTCTTTGTCTTTAGCATTCTACAGTCTATTTTCTTGTTATTTGCAGGTACTTGCAAGAGAATCAGCTTTCTGGGACTCTTGATGTTCTAGAAGATCTTCCTTTGACTGATTTGTAATCCTCTCACCTTAACTTTCAAATCAATTATTGGCTTCAAGTAAATTGCGTTTTGCTAGATTATTTAATTTGGCGTGTCTTCATTGTTGTGCAGAAATATAGAGAATAACCTCTTCTCTGGGCCGGTTCCTGAGAAATTAAAGAATATACCAAACTTCAGGTGAAAAGTATAATCAATTTTTTTTTTAAATTTATGGTGCTACATGTTATTGTGTTTTTTTTTAATATACAGTTTATTCTTCTTGTGGATTTGTTGATTTCTAATTTACTGAGTGTAACGACTTAAGATCATCATGCTCCCTAAGTTTGCTGTAGCAAGCTTTATCAAGCAACATCATAAAATTGATTTCTGTGGGGCAGAGCTCAAATTTGAATGAAACCTCTAACAAACAGGAAACAATATCCGATACTAGCCTGCTACAATTGGAACTGATGTTGCAGGATTATGGTTGACTACAAAGGTTCTTGATTGATATGTTTCTGCAAAAAGATAAGCTAATAAAGACATTGAACCACTTTAAGAGATGGAGACGTAATGTTGACACATGCTTTACCTTGTGACCGTGTCAAAATGATAGATGCTTGCACTAATCATTTTATTTGGCTGAACTATTCTTTTTGGACAAAAAGGGCATCTTTAGTACTTCATTTGTCCAGTGTTCCTTCTCATGCTACTGGTTCAAGCCACTTCAGCCAAAAAATCAAATGTAATTCCACGTGTTTTCATCTTGTTTCTCGTATCCCATTTCTTACTTCTCTACTTCCCTATCACAGTTGTCCTTCTCTTCTCCATCTCACCTCCTCGCTTGTTTTTGGTCTTTCTGTTTACTGCAGTTAGATGGCTTGGCTATGAAGAGTTGAAGTCAGTAGCCTGTATGGCTCTGTAGCTAACGGTTGATCTGTTATATGAATTATTTTTTCATTTAGTATTTGTTTTGACTGCTTAAGGGACTCGAGTCCAAAATAATATTATCTAGTACCAATACTAACATGTTTCTATAGCATCATCCAAAACCACCATGAGAGGAACTGACACACTTATTAGGATTCTAACGCCACATATATAATTGTTATTGATAATAATACAGGCTTGTAATGTTTAGATTAAGCTAGAGACTCTTATATGCAAAAGTGTGGAGTTTTTGGGAGTCTCAATCTATCACTATCCAAGACATTGTTGGTTCATCAGTTGACTTTTAGTTTTGTGATGCAGAAAAGCTGGAAACCCTTTCAACACCTCAATTATTCCATCACCACCTGTCTCATCCCCATCACCATCTTCATCACCATCACCATCTGAGGCATCTCCTCCCGAATTAGCCCCAGTGCAGCAAGCAACTGGACCATCACTGCAATGGTCTTCACAGACTGGAAGCACCAGAGGCACAACTAAGACGTCTAAAAGCATTTCATGGATTGCTATTGCAGGAATCCTTTTCATCATAGTACTTGCATTGGGGATGTGTCTTCTCCTGTGTTGGTGCTGCAAGAGGAGGGAAGTGGCTGGGAAAATAGCCAAGCGGCATGAAGCATATCCGCATCATGGCACCAGTGCAAACTACAAGGAAGATCACTCATTGCGAAAGCCTGATTATCAAGTAGAGAAAGGTGAATAGTTTTCCATGATGAAAACCGCCGGTCCTTGTTAGTAATTTATGCTTTATTAAGCTTTTAAGTTGTTACTGCATGACTGACATCTTTAGGGCTCTGAGTAGTGACAAAAGAAGCAGTTACAAGGCCAACAATGACCTCATTAGAAGCAAAGCAGGACAAGAGTGCCAACCGTAAGAATGCATTTAAAAAGCAGGAGGATCACAGAATCGACATAACATGGATGGATTCAAGTGGGACAGATTCAAGTATTCGACCACCGCCACCACCTCCTTTTCCACTTCTGCCTTCAGAGAGGATCATTGCAGATCCTATTTTGCCTTTGATAAACCCTAGTGGACGTACTATTGATTCTGTGAATTCTGTGAAGACATTCACTATTGCATCTCTTCAACAATATACGGATAGCTTCTCTCAGGAAAATCTTGTCGGAAAAGGCATGTTGGGCACAGTGTATAAAGCTAAGCTTCCCAATGGAAAGGTAAGTACTGATAGCTATGTTGCATGGACTCTCTGGATAAAATTATCTGTACAAAAAGTCAGATGTCCATGCTTTTTAATTAATTCTCTCAGCCAAAGGAATTAGGAGGTGATGACCTTCTCCAGTACCCATATTAATGTTATGTAAAGTAAAACAGAAGAAACAATCTATTGTTCGACGATTGCATCCCTCTACTGAATGCCATCTTTTTTTGTTGATTTTGACTTTCCATTTCTGAATTTTCAATCAAAGTAAATTCTTAAGTCATTTGACATGTTTTTGCATGGTTACGCATCTGACATATGCAACGAGCGTATCTGATGTGTGTTTCTCACACTTAAAGTAGTCTAAACGCGTTGTTATGCCAATAGTTTTACTAGAATAGGAGTTCTGCCCATAACCTTTGTCCTGCAAAATGATGAATAAAAGGAAAAGCAAGTAATCTATCTAGCATAGAATATCTCTAAAGGGAGATCTCAGGCTGCCCTAACCTGTCTATACTTGTTCTTCTTTTGCTTATACAACTGCACCATTATGCTGACTTTATCTTATTGCTTCAATGAACTGTTTTAATTGTTAGTTGCTGGCTGTCAAGAAACTCAACACTGCAACATCCAGGCATCAAAACGACAGAGACTTCATTCAGCTAGTTTCTAATATTGCTAAACTTCAGCATGCGAACATAATCCAGCTTGTGGGCTACTGTGCGGAGCACAGACAATGGATGCTTGTATACGAGTATTGCGAAAATGGAACACTTCATGAAGCACTACACTTGGATGATGAAATCAATAAAAGGCTTTCTTGGAGTACTCGCATCCACTTGGCCCTTCAAGCAGCTAGAGCCTTGGAGTAAGTTGATAAGTACTAATTGATTATGAGAATAACAAACAAGGAAGTTGTACCAGAAAGATGATTACAGGCCAATAGTTTATTGTTTGTGCATTTGAACTCGACTGATATGTTGCACACATTGAATACATAAACAAATGTTAGCTTTATACACCATCTCCTCGGTTCCTGTCGCATGTACCATTCTGTTGTTGTGCATACTTAGCATATTAGCTCCAATCTTCTATTTGCATGACTGAGAGTTTTCTTGCTGTTTCATTGTAAAGGTATCTGCATGAAGTTTGTCAACCGCCAATTGTTCACCAGAACTTCAAGTCTGCTAATATCCTCCTAGACAATGAGCTTTCTGTATATGTTTCAGACTCTGGTTTGGCGCCTCTACTATCATCTAATTCAATGGCTGAGGTATCATTATGCAACACCTTAGTCAACTTAAAATTTACATTAGGAGGAAGTCTCAGTTTGTGATGTCAGAAAGAAACCTGTTTAAACTATTTACTTGCCTCGTAACTTTAATTAACCAATGCACATGTAGTTGCTTCTTGTTGAGTGTAGAGTTTTTCTGATCATCAGTATGTTTACCAGCTGCAAGCTTGTGGATATGGTGGCCCTGAACTTGAATCAGGAAGCTATACACATCACAGTGATGTTTACAGCTTTGGAGTTGTTATGTTAGAGCTTCTGACAGGAAGAAAATCTTATGACAGGTTAATAATCCTGGAGTAGAACCTAAATATGAGTTTAACTATCAAAAATTTGATTCAGAATTGAGAAAAAACTAATCAGTAGCCATTGGAACTTAAACTTTCAGGTCACGTCCTCGAGGGGAGCAATTTTTGGTTAGATGGGCAATTCCTCGGCTTCATGACATAGACACATTGTCAAGAATGGTTGATCCTTCTCTAAATGGTGTATATTCTTCAAAATCTTTATCGCGTTTTGCTGATATAATTTCCTTGTGCATTCAGGTGAGTTCCTCCATTCGTGGTTCTTTTTTCTTCTTCTATATCTAGTGCTTTCAATAAAGTTTTAAAGATTAGAAGTACCAGATTTATCATACTTAATGACATGACCTGCGTGAAAATCATTACACAGTATGTTGAGCATTACCATTCACTTAAACGTACGATGGCTAGTGTGGCTTGCTTTGGTTTCACATATAATTCAATAGCGGACCCAAGATTGATTTTGTCCTAAGAATACACTCTTCTAAGAGGGAATCAGCACCAGTCCACTTGGATCTTTTGGAGAAGCTCGATAAGGAAGAGTTAGCTTAGATTTTGTTCATTTTACTAAAGAAGTCTTCCATTGAACGAGAACTTTTCGAGTTCTGCATTGACCGAAAGAACAGCTAACAACAACTAAACATGTTTTAACTGATGCAACTATTTGATATTTTTCTCCTGATGTAACTTCATTGTTGGAAAATGCAGCCGGAGCCAGAATTCAGACCGCCCATGTCAGAAATTGTCCAGAACCTCTTACAAATGGTACAAAGGAATTCTTGAACAAGGGATGAGACCCTACAATCTCTTTTGTGAAGCTCTTGGTGGCATAAGAGTTGAATTCTGAACGTTCTCTTTGTTCTGCTAACCAGTCGTGCATGATGACATGTATAAGAAGTAGCTTTTGTGAAACTCTTCTTCTAAAGCCTTGCTTTCCTGCTCTTTTGTACGTGAAGCCACAATTTTTCTAATCCAATTCTTTAATTTTTTTTTTCCTTGGCCCCTAATTGTATTCATCAATTGGGTAGGATATTGAGATGTATATTTGTTTTCTTTGCACTTCAATTGCTTAAAAACCATAACTTGGACTATAACCCAAGTGTATTAACAGACACGAGTTTTATGGGATGATCTGTGTATCTACATGGAACATTATTGTATATGATGGTCTTGTTCCCAATACACAATCCAATCCAACAAACCTTTAATTACCTTCTTCCACTGGTTTCCAAACACTATGGAATTCACAGTAAATCTAGTGCGTTTAGTTTAAATTCAACTCCCAGTCCTTAGGAATGGTCACATCATACTTTCAGTAATGTTTAATCACACCATTTGAGTTAATAGAAAAGAAAAATAAAAATGGTCCAACACAATTATAAATTACTCAAGAATGATTGTATACACCATAATCTAAAGTCCTCGTTGAAACTCATAAATTAAACTACTTAATCATAAGTTGAACCAAGCCCCTCTCGGCTTATTAAGGTTCAAAGATGAATCAAATTCAGTTTGGTAAGAGCTCATTCAAGTTTGATTTGCTAATTAATTAAGTCAAAATTGAACAATATTTTATGCGTGATGATAATATTTAAATTCGATAGAAAAAAAAAGACTTGTTTAAATTCAATTTGACAAATAAACAAATTAAATTTGAACAAAATCTTAAACTCATTAAAATAATTAAACAAGTTTAAATGGTAGAGTGTTTGGTTTGATTAAAATCTTTAACCCCTATCACCTGCTGACACTCGGTCCGAGTTGATAACCATTATGGTCAAGATCTATTCAGAACCGGAAATTCCAAAGCTGATAATGCTAACTTCAATCCGACGTCGTCTTACTTGTCTTTCTCCCCTGTTTCCTGCAAAAACTAAAAACAGGCCAGCAGCGGCTGACTGGGCTCGAGTCTGGTCCTTCTGTTCAAGTCTTTCTTTCCTCCATTAAATTTACCCCAAAAATTTCCTTCCTCATCCTTCTCAGCACTTCAACACTTGGGAAAAAAATAATTGACAGACCAAATTAAGAGCTGCTAAATATTCCCAGTTTTTCTTTCCCTTCTTCTTCATCCATTCTGGTCCCTCAACACTGGGCCCCACACTTCTCCAGGTTCCCCTCTTCTCTTTCTCTCTCTCTCTCTCACACACACACACAATTGCTAACACTGGAAGCATTTACACGGCGCTAAATACTTTTACCTAAATATGTAGCTATTTACGTATACAGATATAAGTAGACATTGATCGAGACGTTTATTCTATGTTCATACAGATTCTGATTATTTTGTGTTTGATATCAATAAAAATTTAAAATTTGCCTTTTATACTGCTTTGATTCACTTGGTAATTCGCACTTGTATGAGCAATCAAGCATGCATGAAGAGCGTGCTGGTGAATTTTTTATTTATCTAATTACTTTTCTTGATTTGCAGGTCTTGGGATTCAGGAATTTTGGAGCTAGGGTTTCGTTTTTTCAGTTAAAAATAGGATTTTTTTCCAGCTCTTGTCTTTTAGGTAAAGTTTTCAATTTTATCTGTTCTTTGTCTTTTGCTTGCTGTAATTTTTAGGGAGAAAGGGACTTTGTTTGTTTAATGCTGCATTTGAAATAGTTTACTTGAGCTTTTAGTCGCCTGAATTGAATGGCCTCAATGTAGGCTGAGCATCTGGTTTCAGTTTTTCTTTTTTCCTCTTTTTTTTTTTTTTTTTCAATTCATATGTTGATCTCTGCAAAGAGTTAATGGTTTGGTGCTGTTTTCTGCATTTAATGCGGTGAACATAATTAGTTGTAGTTAAATTAGTGGTTTTTGGTAGTTGTTGATTGTACTTTACTGGAGCTCGGCAAACATGCAAGTACTTTCTTTGGGGATACTGAATCTTCTAATTGTTGATTCAGTGCATAGTGATGGCTGGTCAACAACCTATTTATTTAGATAAATCTTTGATGATTCTGCTCTAGCTTTTCTTTAGCATTGTTGTCGTTTCAAAATGCTTGTCGTGTTTCTCACACATTCACACATTTGTTAGTTTCATATCTTGTCATCTGCCTTTTCTTATTTTTTGTGTGCACACCGCTTTAAATGGTTGCCTCTTCAGGTTGATAGTTTCCTCAGTCAGCATGTGACGCTACCATTAAGTTTATTATTGAAGATTTTTTCATGGATCATTCGCGGTCAATTGCCGGTGCTGGTGAGGATAATGTAGCGATTCCTGATGATCTGCGTTGCAAGAGGTCAGATGGCAAACAATGGAGATGTACCGCAATGTCCATGCCTGATAAAACTGTATGTGAAAAGCACTACATTCAGGCAAAGAAAAGGGCTGCCAATTCTGCACTAAAAGCTAGTATGAAGAAGAAAAGGAAACCTATAGGTGAACGTGATAATTACTACGAGAGTACGAGTGATGATATGGATGTACCCCTTGTTAATTCCATAGCTGGGGATTATTCTGGTTCAGTCTCTGGGAAGAAGTACAAAGAAAAATTACCAAAAGCGCAGAGGAATTATTCACCTGAAGCACCTTCAACAAGGAGTCTTACCCTTCGGAGTTCTCTCAAGTCAAATGATGAATTACAAAGGGATGGTATTATGCATGAAGACAATCGAAGATCATACAAGACACCACCACCTCCTACAATCGATTCATCTAGAAGCAGATCACAGAAGATGTTTGATTCTAGTCCAATGACAGTGAGTCAATATTTTGGCTGTTGCAATGCACTAAAGATTAGTTGCTTTTACCTTAAACTTTCTCATCAGACATGTAAAACAGTGTTAAGAAGATACATAGCATACTTGTTAGCTGGAAACCATGATACGTATTGTTCATCAACTAGTTTGCGTCCTAGTGAGCTTTCGATCAAAGACTAATCTTAGGTCATGGAATTTTCTTTTATCCATGGAACATTTCTTGTAATCAAGGTTAACTTGGAAATTTCTTATCATGACTGTATAGATATGGCATACATTCTTTAAGATAACTATGAGTTAGTACTTTGGATATTTGTGGATTCCACTTTGTGTCTATTTTTGGGTAAGTATGGTCTATTTTTGTGTCTATTTTTGGATGTTGGTTTATGATATTAGACGCCTAAAAGCTGTAGCCAGCATGGCAAAACAATATAAATAAATGAAGAGAAAATTCTCAAAAACAATAGTTACCTGGTAAGCAAGCCTACAAATGAATATGCTTTGATCCTCATGATGTATGGTACGTCTACTTAGCATTCTTTTTTCCAGTGTGCAATTGTATAGCTCTCTTTTTAGGCCATATTAAATTACTGATGAAGCAAAAACATGAGTAATTATTAAATACCAAATAAAAAGTATTGTTTTGATGAAGTGAATGTCAAAAAAATTTGGATAAAAATTGTTTCCAACTTAAAATTGTGGAGTCAATCTCTTTGATAATTCTGGCTTGGTCAAATTTGTTCTTGTCGACAGATTATCTTTCTTGCAAGCATGTGTTCTATGTTACTCATGATTAGCACCTTACATAATAGGAAACTTCCGAAGGAAGCTCAGAATCTTCTGATGATACTGGCGGGCAACCTTGCCATCAGTGCAGAAGAAATGATAGAGACAGGGTGATTTGGTGCCTTAAATGTGATAGGAGAGGATATTGTGATATCTGCATTTCAACATGGTAGTCAGAACCTTCTTTCAGGAGAATTTTTTTTTTCTGAAATGAAATGTTACTAGCCTAACCATTAAGTTCTGATCTATCAGGTACTCTGACATCCCAGTGGAAGAAATTCAGAGGGTTTGTCCAGCATGTCGTGGTAGTTGCAGTTGCAAGGTGTGTTTACGAGGAGATAATTTGATAAAGGTATAGGTCTTTTTGCTGATGCTGCTATTCATAAGTTCTTCCACTCTGTAAAATATAGCATTCTCCAGAAGCAGACGTTACTTCTCACAAGAATGCAATCTTATCTAAGTGCAGTAATTTTTGCAGGATCCCTGTAATCGATTACCATAGACATTGTCCAAATTGCTTGTATGATCTTTGTCTTAGCTGCTGCAAAGACATTAGAGAAGCATCCAGGCTTGTTGTTGAGGTAAAGATGGAAAATCAGATAGCAGGTGAAAGTAATGACAGAGAATGTGCATTGGAGCAAGTTGAATTATCTAATGTCCAACTAAATTTGCTTAGAAAGTACTCTGGTTGGAGAGCTCAGAGGGAGGGCAACATTCGATGTCCACCACGGGAGTATGGGGGATGTGGTTGCTCGTCATTAGTACTAAAGCGCATCTTCAAGATGAACTGGGTTGCTAAACTGGTAAAAAATGCTGAAGAAATGGTTGGTGGATGTAGAGTTGATGATTCTGGCAGTGAGGAAAGAACGGGATTTGATCTCAGGCTTTTCCAGGCTGCACATAGAGAGAATGATAGCGACAACTGTCTATACCATCCATCAGCCCAAGATATCAAGACTGAAGGGATTGGGGACTTCAGAATCCACTGGAGTCGAGGAGAGCCTGTTATTGTTAAGGAAGTTTGTGATACTTCCTCAATGACAATTTGGGATCCCGAGGTTCTACTGAGAGGAATTAGAGAGACTGCAGAAGAGAAACTTAAGGATGCAAATAGAACTGTAAAGGCAATTGACTGTTTTAATTGGACTGAGGTAAATTTCCAGTGAATTAAGCTGCAAATTAACAGCAATAAAACTCCATTCCTCCCCCCCCCCCCTGGCAGCAAATAAAAAAGTCATCTATACTTCCATTTATGGGTTTCTCTTCTCCACATTTTGCATGTCCCTCGCTTATGGATCAATATAATAACAGGTTGATATTGAACTGAGTCAGTTCATTAAAGGATACTCAGAGGGTAGATTTCATGAAAATGGTCGACCAGAAATGTTAAAGTTGAAGGATTGGCCGTCTCCAAGTTCTTCAGAAGAGTTTTTAATGTACCAGAGACCTGACTTTATAATTAAGCTTCCCTTGCTAGAATTTATCCATTCGAAGTGGGGGCTTCTAAATGTTGCAGCAAAATTGCCTCATTATTCATTGCAGAATGAGGTAGGCCCTAAAATTCAGATTTCATATGGAACATGCAAAGAACTCGATAGAGGTGATTCTGTGGAGAAGCTTCGGCTTAATATGCGTGATGTGGTAAGTGCTATAT